TCTAAATAATCCGATATGATATATGCTTATATGCATTTTGTGTGTTTTTATTAGAAATAAATTTATTTAGATTTACATATTCATTACATTTTGCAGATTTGGTGTCTGACGAGGGCTGCTTTCTGCTTCCAAGGTGGCACTGTGTTGCTACATCCTCATGTGGCAGAAGGGAAAACGGAGTGAATGCTAGTTCCTAACAGCTTTTTTGTGAGGCGCTAATCAACCCATGAGGGCAAAGCTCTGCTGACTTAATTATTTCCCCAAAGGCCCTACCTCTTAAAACAACAAAATAGGGATGTGTCAATATAAATTTTGAGAAGACACAAATATTTAAAACATAGGAAAGGAAGTTTGATCTTTCCATTGTCTAAGAAGGGGTAAAAGGACAAATTCGTTGAAAAGAATGTATTGAAGGGCACAGCATGATATTGATTAGAGAAGTCAATGTTATAAAGAAATCTTATATTTAAACACTACTTTAGATATCACATTCAGTCCCAAATATAAATCCAGGTTTTTTTTACAAAATAGCTTTATTAAGGTGTCATGCATACAGCATAAATTTCATCCATTTAATGTGCATAAGTCAGTTTTTTTTAATTTTAATTTTATTTTTTGTTTTTAGAACAGTCCTATTGCAATAGTCAGTTATTTTTAGTATATTCAGTTATGACTATCACTACTGAAATTTGGAAAGTTTCCATCATCCCCAAAAGAAACTGTTAACAATTAACAGTCATTTTCTATTCCAATCTTCCCTTAGGCATTGGCAACCACTATTCCATTTTCTATTTCTATGGGATTGCCTTTTATTGATATTTCATATAAACACACTTGCATAATGTGAAACTTTAAGAAAGACTGAATGCCACAAATATAATGTTGAGTAAAAAGAGCAAGACCTACAGCAATGAAATCTGTACTTGGTGGTATGTATATTACATTTCAATAATTTTGAAAACTTCTTTATTAGAACAAATTACATAATTTATTTTAAAACTTTTTCAATCAAAATATTATTTCCATTTTGTGAAATTTAAAATTACCTGAACAGACTCCAAATTCAGTTGCTTTAATTCTAAAGTTTATGCTTACAATTATATAGTTGTGACGATCCACACCTGTGTGATTTAAGTCCAGATGAGTGCAGCATTGCACAGTTATGTTTACCGATATCAGATTACGTTATCCTGTAATGGAGAAAAATCCATAATCCCATTAGACTGTATGGGAACAATTCATGAAACAAGAGCATTTTCCACACAGTGTAAGAAAGGAATATTATGAAACAGTTGATATTTTCCATGTATTATTATGAGTTGGTTATTATGAAAATTGAATGAAGTAGTCCTTTTGTCTTGGGAGATGTTCTAATACCCCCAGTGGATGTCTGATATCACAGAAAATAATGAACTGTATATATGCTGTGTTTTATCTATACATATATAGTTCTGATAAACTTTCATTTATAAATTAGGCACAGTAAGGGATGAAAACAAACTAATAATAATGAAAAAAGAACAATTATAACAATGGCCGGCAAAAATACTCTTGCATTTTGGGGCTGTTATTAAGTAAACTAAGAGTGACTTCAACATAAGCACTACAATACTTCGATAGTCGATCTTATAACTGAGACAGCTGAATGACTAATGGACAGGGAACTTAGGCTCTGCAGTTATCCTGGATGAAGCAATGATTCGTGTCCCGGGTGAGACAGATCCATACACTATATAAATAATTTAATTACACTACTCAGAACGGTGCAAAATTTAAAACTCATGAATTGTTTCTTCCTAGAATTTTCCTTTTAATATTTTTGGCAGTGGTTGAGCCTGGGTAACTAAAACCACAGAAAGTGTAATTGTGGATCATTTCTTAATATTTATAGCAATATTTCACTAACTTTCAACATCTTTATTTATGGTTATAATTACACTTAAATTTATTCATAATGTTATTCTGAACTTGTCCTTTTATATTCTTCTACTAGATAGAATCATTCAAAAAACTTACTTAAATTTGAATGCTGATATTCAAATGTTCAAATTTATTGACACCCATGGATGATCACTGCTGCTACAAGAGACGCCAACCTATTAGAGAACTGACAGGGAGACCAGAAATTTCTAATGGAAAATAAAAAATTTTCATTTAAATCATAATTATAAAAGTTTTAATTAGTTTTTAGGTGCTTTCTTTGAATTCTGAACTTTTATTAAGTTTTTATTAATTTTTAAAAGTGCAAGTAATACATTCTTTCATAAGATGCTTAATTTTCAAAACGAAATAAATATATTAAACAAAATAGTAAACTTGACGCTTTATAGTGTCAAAAACTGTTAGGAATTTTTGTAATTTTGACTTAAAAGGAACATTTTAATTTTTATACTTAGTACATTCATTCTTATTTTGATAAGCAAAACTGTGATTCATGTAATTTGACAGTTGCCCTTGTCGGGTAAGACAGACCTTCAGTCCTTCAGTAAGGACTGAAATAAATTTCCTAATGCTGCACATTTATTTCTCCAGATATTCTGATTAAATCAGTGTACTTTTCCACTATGGTTCTCATAGTGGAACTTTTCTGCTTGAAGTTTAGAAGGAAATCGAAAGGTTGAGGAAATACATGACACAGAGGCCAAAAATTGGCCTTTCTGGGCACCACACCAGTCTTTAGCCCTCACTTATCTGATTCGGTTTTGGTGGAATAACAATGGTCTTGACCAGGTACATGGAATCGTTTTTCTCTGCCACTCCCTGCTAAATACAACTATAAACTCTGGAAGTAATGAAAGACACATAGGAAAACTCCGAAAGGTGGAAGGAGGAAGGCAAAATGGTTTGAGACCCCAGAATCAGGGATCAACAGTGTCCAGGCATCTACAGTCCCCCATCCAGCAGAAGAAAGTGATCTAGGCCTCTGTTGCTCAGAACCCAATCTGGCAACAGGAGGTGGCTCAGCTAAGCCTACTGCTGCTCTGTATTGAAAGGGAATCCTACCAGCAACACTAGGCAAGGTTGGTGCCACTGGCAAGGATGATTTACCAGGAGACCTGCTACCAATTAGGAGTCAGAGGAAGGGCTTCTCCTCCCACAGCAAAAGACACCAGGGAAGGTGTGGCTGAGAGGTGTCAGCAAAGGAACCCCGTGACTACACGTGCACCATCCAGGTTCCCCTTTGTCCCTGAGGACATGAGACTCACTCCCCCATCCAGAGACACAGGCCTGAATAGATTGTAAACGTTCTATGTACGTCATGCAGCAATGAACAGTAACAAACAACAGCTAACGGCATTATTGCACAAATATCGAAGACACAGGTGAAAATACACACTGTATGATTCACTTGATATAAATTCAAAAACAAATGATAAATAAGCAAAGCTTATTTATCACATTAAAAGTCAATACAGTGGTTTGGAGAGGAGGCAGGAAAAATGAGGAAGGCATATATAGGGGCAGGACTGCTGGGGCTGGAAACTTCTATTTCATGATCTGCCTTGTATCATGAGTCCATTCACTTTGTGATCAATATGCATGACCATGACAGGTTTAGTCTTCTTTATATAAAAAATAATAAATGGGATTTTAAAGACCCTTGATGCTTAATACAAGACAGGACAGTGAGCCTATAGAAAGATTTAAACTAGGCAAGTAACCATCACTTATATGCACACATTCACACACACACACACACACACACACACACACTCACATATATACTCAATTTCAATGAAGTACCGCTAGCCAAGTTTGGCCAGGAGACAGTTGAAATGTAGCTATTTAAATTTAACATTAATTATTAAAAAGTAAATAACATTTAAAACCAATTCCTCACCACATGAGCCACATTTATAGAGAGATGAACATTTCCAGCTTTGTAGGAAATATTCTAGCTATATTTTACCTACAATAGAAGTCAATAAACAAAAATCTGCGAACCTTATGCGGTTTTAAATTCAGTAATAAAAGTCTAAATAACATATGGACCAAATAAATTATCAAGATGAATGGTCACAAAAGACTACTGAAGGAAGATTTTGAAAGGGCACAAATATTTTATTTCTGGTTTAAACATGGTAATACCATTAAGGTCTTTACAGTTATTAAACTGTCAATAAAGCTATATTATCACTGCATTTTGATGTTTATATGAAATAGAAAATTCCTAGGAAATGTTTATTACCAAAATATAGTACCTCAAGTAGAAATCTGAGAAGAAATTCAGTTTAGACAAATATTCCTACAAAAATAGCCTACAAACTCAGATGACATCACTAGTGAATACCATCTAAAAATAAAGGAGTAGTCTTAACAGATGCTTCCAGATTGTAGAAAAAAAGAAAATCTTCTCAAGATAGCCTTGATACCAAAACTTTTCAAGTACATAGCTATAAATAAAAACATGGTCAAATATCCTTGTGAACATGGATTAAGAAACAAATCTTACCCTAGGCATAATATATGAACTGATATTTTATAAGGGGCCATATACAATAATCAGCATGGATTTGTTTTAGAAACAAAGACTAGTTTAACACTTGACAAAAATAAAACTAGTTTATTTTATAAAATGTTATATAAAGAAAACATATATCATTCCAACTAATAAAAAATAATAAAAATGTTACAATTGATAAAATCCATTAGAAAAAAAGGAATGTTATAAAACTGCTTCAATATAAGAAAGATATGATAAAAAAACAAGCTTTATAAATATGAATAATATTTTGAAATTATTTTTGCCAAAACTAAAAAATGATACATATGATACATACAGAATTTGACTATAACTTCTATTCAACTATGGATATGAAGCCCTACCCTGTGAAAATAAATGAAGCAAAAATAAGTTATTGCACATGAATAGAAAAAATAAAAGTGTGATTATTTGCAGATAAAATTGATGTTTATATAGAAAATCCAGAAAATCCTGTATTTGAAATGATAGATTTAAATATGTAAAATAAGTGAAATAACTAGATAAAACATCAAAATGCAGACATCAATTGTATTTCTATTTACAACAACAAAAATTACTAAAAGGAATATTAAAATCAGGATGCCATTTACAAAAGCATGAATGTAAAACATCTGCATTTCTGTATGATTAAATCCCCCAAAATGCATAATATGATAGAAATTGAAGAGAACCCAGCACATTGAACACAGTGCATTGAAGGACACAATATGATATTGATTGGAAAAGTCAAGAAGCTAATCTTAAAAATTACTTTAGAGATTAAATGCAGTCACAAACAGCCCCATGAGAGGTTTTTTTTTTTGACAGCTTTATTGAAGTATTATGCACATAGCATAAATTTCATCCACTTAAAATGTGACTTTTAGTGTATTCACAGAATTCCAACCATCACCACGACTGAAATTTAGAAAGTTTTCATCACTGACACAAAGAAACATTCTAGCAATTAGTGGTCATCTCCTATTTCAACTTTCCTTAGGCATTGGCAATCACTATTCTACTTTCTGTCTCCAGAGTTTCCCTTGTATGCAGCAAGAACTTACATGAAGTTCTTGCTGCTTCATATAAACTGACTCATATAATATGCAAGTTTTAGGAAGGCTGAATGCCACAAACATCAAGTTGAGCAAAATAAGCCCAACACAAATGCCAGGAGATCTGTACTTTTGTAACTGTGTGTATTATATTTCAATAACTGATTTAGAATTTTCTTATTATTACAGCAAATAACATGATTCATTTTAAGACATGCAATTATGTTATTTCTATTTTAACAAATATAAAATTTATCTGTCAGACTGCAAACTCAAATGTTTTAATTCTAAAGCTTATGCTTACAATGATATTTTATTGAAGATCCACATGGCTTTGATTTAAGTCCATCTATATGTAGCATTGCACAATTATGTTCAGCATTATTTGAGTCTTTAATCCTGTAATGAAGAAAAATCCATAATTCGGTTACATTTTATGCAAATAATCCATGAGACAAGAGCATTTTCCATGTACTGTAAAAAAATAATTTTATGAGAAAGGATAATTAAATTTTTCAAATACTATTAGTAAAAGTCATTACTCTGAACACTCAATACAGTAGTCCTCCTTCATCCATGGAGGATATGTTTCAAAACCCCAGTGAATGTATGAAATGGCAGATAGTACCTATAGACAGATTATGTTTTCTCTACCCATTCATAACCATGGTAAAGTTTAATTTGTAAATTAGGCACAATAAGAGATTGACAGCAATAACTACTAATAAAAAAACAAGCATAGCAATATGCCAACAGCACTACTATAGTGCTTTGAGGATTTTCTTTTTCCTTTTTTTTTTTTTTGAGACAGAGTCCCACTGTGTTGCCCAGGTGGGAGTGCAGTGGTGTGATCTCGGCTCACTGCAACCACTGGCTCCCAGGTTCAAGTGATTCTCCTGCCTCAGTCTCCCAAGTAGCTGGGACTACAGGCACACGTCACCATGCCCAGCTAATTTCTGTATTTTTAGTAGAGACGGGGTTTTATTATATTGGCCAGGCTGGTCTCAAATTCCTGACCTCATGATCCACCTGCCTTGGACTCCCAAAGTGCTGGGATTACAGACGAGAGCCACTGTGCCTAGTCTGAGGATATTCTTAAGTAAAATAAGGATGACTTTTTAATAAAAACGAGCACTGCAATTACCTGATCGTCCATCTTAAGTTTGTCCAACTCATGGTCCAGGACAGCTTGAAATGCAGCCCAGCATAAATTTATAAACTTTCTTAAAACATTCTGGGGTATTTTTGCAATTTTCTTTTGTTTTGTTTTAGCTCATCAGCTATCGTTAGTGTTAGTGTATTATACGTATGGCCCAAGACAATTCTTCTTCCAATGTGGCCAAAGAAGCCAAAGATTGGACACCCCTGGTCCATCTGATAACCAAGAAGGTTACTAGCTGACTAATGAGTGGGTAGACATATATGGACCACGATGGTCTACTGTAAAATATTTATATCACAATTTCACTAACTTTCCACATCTTTCTTCATGTCTATGATTCCACATAAATTTATTCATATTATTCTTCTGAATTTATCCTTTATATGTGTTTTTTTATATAGCAACAAACAAAACAACTTACATATATTTGAAAGTCAAACCATCTATTGACACCCATGGATGATGACTGCTGTTACGAAACACACCAATCCATGAGGGAGCTGAAATGGCAGCCAGAACTTTCTGAAAGAAAATAGAGAATTTTCACTTAAATAACAATTATGAAAACATTATAAAAACAATATATTAAAGTTGAAACCCACTATTGGCAAGGCCAAAAACTTTCATGAATGTTTGTAATTTTGATTTAAATGAACTCTTCGGTAGTACTTTCATTCTTCTCATGTTAATTAAAAAACTTTAATTCTTGCAATATAATAGTTACCCCAATTGACAGAATAAACACAGTAAGGCTTTATGATTTTCCTGATGCTGTGCATTTATTCCTCCAGATACTGTGACTAAATCAACCTCCTTTTGTACTGTATTTCTCAGAGTTATAGACTTAGAAGAGAATAGAGGAGTTGTCATTCAGAAATAAACGACATAGAAGCTACAGACTGGGTTTTCTGGGCACCACACCATTCTTGAACTAGATAAACCCTCACTTTCATCTGATTCGGTTTGGTGGAACATCAGTGGTCCTGACCAGGTGATAGAGAAATGTCCCTCTCTGCTACTTCCTCTCTGCTACTCCCTACTAAAAACAACTTACACTCTGGGATTAGCAAAAGACAAAAGCAATGGAGAACTCTGAAAGCTGGAAAGAGAAAGATGAAATTGTCTGGGACCCTAGCATTGGGGATCAACCAAGTGTCCAAGGGAGCATGTTAAGTTCTCCACCCAGAAGAAGGTGACGTAGGTCTGCTGTTTCCCAGCACCTGACCTGGCAATAGGAGGAGGCTCAGCAAAGCTCACTCCTGCTTGTGCTGAAGGGGAGTCCCCTCCACAACACCAGGCAAGGCTGATACCAATGGCAAGCATGATCTATCAGGAGATCTGCTACCAATTCAGAACCAGAGGAAGTGCTTTGTTCTCATAGCGAGAGACACCAGGGTGGGTGTGGATGAGGAGGATCAGCAAAGGGACCCCATGACTATGAGTGCACCATCCAGGGTCCTCTTTGCCCTTGAGGACATAAGACTCACTTCCCCATCCAGAGACACAAGATTGAATGGATTGTTGGTGTTCTTTGTACATAGCACAGCGGTGGACAGTAGCAAACCACAAATAACTGCAATAATATAGAGGAATTGCACAAATATCAGCATATCAGATAGGAGTAAAAAAGACAGACATGAAAATTCACACTGTATTATTCCCTTTATATAAATTCAAGAACAGGCAAACATTATTTATAACATTAAAAATCAAGACAGTGTTTTGGAGAGGAGTCAGGATAAGTGATGAGGGCATACACAGGGTGGAACTGCTGGAGCTGGAAACTTTTATTTCATGATCTAACTAGTATGGCATGAATTCATTCACTTTGTGATCAATCTGCATGACCAGATCATATCATGCTCAATAAAATTAAATGGCAAAATTCATTGTGGATTCAAAGCATTTATAGAAGCATGGTTTTCCACGAAAAGCAAAAACTGAAAATAAAAGTACATTCATAGTATATAAATTAAAAACAATAAGTCACTCAATTGAATATTACATAAACTTGATAATATATATGCTAAATATATGTACACACATATTAATGATTTCTGCAAATGTATTATTGACCAAAATAAGCTTTTCATAAAGCGTTTAAAACATTTACATCTTACCATTTCTTCTTCATTATCTATAGAAAGCAGCGTGGAGTTCTTTGAAGCACAGGCCAGCAAACTCTCTTCCCAAGTTCTTTTTTCCTTACCAAAGTAATAACAACTGTTGGAATACGTAATCCACTCCTCTGGACAATGGTCACAATGATGTGCTATGAAAGATATAAATTACTATGCAGAACGGTATGAATTTTTAAAAATGAAAATTATTTTACATATTTGCAATGAAATTAACATATATGTGCTTAACATATTTATGTATCCTTACATTATTATAAATACATATATTTTAATAACCCAGTCACTCATACACACATTCACAGGAACGGGTTAGCCTCTCATCCCCTAATTGTGTTCCCATATAAAGCAAATCAACAAACAAAAATACACCCTACACAGGTCTTGAACATCATTGATACAAAACTACTTTTTGAGGGTAGTAAAATTATTTATTTCTTATCATCTCACAGCAGTAGGAAACTTCTGTTACCTGGGAGAAAGACGACAGAATGATTTTAAGTGAATATTTCTACTTATTGAAGAAAAGGAAATGCTTCCTTATAGTCTTTGTTTATAAATATCTGTGGCTCAATTTAATGGCTTATTTTCTCCAGTAATGCTATTGTTATTTTACATGCCTTAAAACAGACACAAAATATAAACTGTACTAATATCAGAACGTTGAAAATCAAAATGTACCTTTCTGGGTTCTTGTATTCGGGGAAGAATTGTTCTGCTCCAGGACTGTAATTGAAAAATTAAAATGATTTTTATTAAAACTAATATCTAGATAAACCATAACAAGGTTAGTTTTTTACTTTGACACTTTGTGTGTTATTTAAAATGGGGAAAATCTTAAATAAAATTAACTATTTTAATAAAAATAAATGAAGTAGATCTTTGAAAGAAATTTTTTTAAAGACTTTAGCACAAAACTGCACCATCTCTTGTAGTATTTGATGTATGCACTTTCCAAAATTAATTTTTCTAAATACTTTTTTCCTATTGCATGGCTTTGAATTATGAAATCAGAAAATATATCTATCTTAGTGTGTGTATACATATATAGATTACACATGCAAAAAAAAAAAGTGTTCCCCACAATTATTTTGTTATTTGTAGTTGTGAAAAGCTCAGAATAACTATAATACTTTTGGGTCCAAATATAAACATTAAAATGAAGGTTCTGTTCCTTAATATTATAAAATATTTTGAGGCAGTTCCAAGCATTAAACAGTTCCCTTCTAATCTCTCAAAAATATGCTTACAAGGAATAAGAACTATTGTTTTTAGCACAGTGGCCATCAGGACAATGCAAATGATTCCCAGAACCTCAGCAGTCAGCCTCTCTGGAGGTGGCAGTAAACCTGCGGGGAGAGAAACAGAGGCACTGAGGGGGAGAGAGTTTATTAGGATTACGCACAAGAGAACCCGCATGCACAGGGAAACAATGGTAAACTCTGCCCTCTAAATCTGTATCTATTATAGTAATCTTTCTCTCAGAAGCTACCATTTAATTTCAGGAAATATAATGCTTCATGAGTTGCTGATCACAGATTACGGTTGAACAATGCCTGAATAAAATTAGCCTTCCTATTTCATATTAGAATTTTAGATCCCAATTATGAACTCTGATTCTCACAAGTGCAAAATTTTCCCTATTTTTCCCCCACCCTTCTGTATTCAACTGCACATCCTAAAACAATAATATTGCAGATGTATTTAATGTTTTACCTTTGCAGTCATATATTTTAACAATCCCTTGATGATTCAGAGAAGCATTTTGAAGGTTTAATTCTTCTTGGAATACTTCCTGTTCGGTTCCTGAAATAGAGCTTTTATTACCCTTAGGTCTCCTTTGCTGCCTCTTTGGGTCCTGGGCCAGACTCACTTCTGAGAAGGTTTCTCTTTGTTTATTCATCTCTGCAGCTGTGTGATGTCAGGGACTGTGCTCTATGATAACTGCACTTAAGAAGATACAGATGGTGTATATTTTGACAGGATCCCTGGTATAGGCAAACTGCATGTGTTGGGGCTGAGCAGTAATGTTTATTTTGCTGTTAACCCATGTAAAATTATGTTACTAATTTCCTGAAGCTTTAAACAAAAATCTCATGATATAATTGGTAGTTTTTTAGAGGTATTCTGTATTTGACTAGTGGGAACAATTAAAAACATTACATTTGTGTGAACTAAGATCATGAAAAAAATTTGTATTAGATTCTTCAAAAACATTTCACACAAATGGAATGCATATGTTAAAAATTAAAATGCTGTATTTAAAAATACACCGATTTTATGATAGTTTTAAAATTCACTGATGGTTAAGAATTGCGTGCCATAAGATAAAATAGTTCTGTTAGCATATAGAGTAACCTCTTATACGAAAATACGTCGTGAGTGACTTACATTCATTTATCAATAGAACGTGAGCTATTGTCAAGCGATTTTAGGAAATCAGAAAAGTCATTAAAATTTAAAAAATACATCTTATATCTTGTAAAACTACCCTATGCATAAACTAAATACAATTGAAAACAAAATATATTTTTAATTGCTTCTTTTACACAGGAAATTGATAATTGATTAAATGACTAAAATAGGAAAGCTTAAAGTGATAAATAAAAGTGGGGACCATCTATGGAAGGATACTGTCCAACCAAACTTTCAGAGAGTTCCTGTGGGTGTATAAGTCAGTGAGGGTTGCTTTGGCTGTATAAGTCATTGTAACAGCTCAGATCATGTCATTTAATACTCTAGTCAATGAGCTCCGTAGTCAATGAAACTATAATTAACTCTAGCTGTGGAAGTTATAACGCGTGACCTTACTAAATTGCTTAGTGTCTACTGACCTAGTTTACTAATCTACATTGGGAAAAATAATTTTTAAAATGTAATATGTAAAACACTAAACACACAACCTGGCACATATTAGCGTTGAATACATAATAGATATTTTAATTATTTTTTAACACAATTTTGCCATTTTATTATTTCTGATTTGCATTAGAGTGTGTAAAATAACGCATTAGTTAGGCATCTCATGTCAGTGGAGTAAATCTTTTTTGCAATGTTTGGTTCAATTGTATTAAGTCTTCCAATTGTTTGTAATTAAGTTCAGATTTGTATTTTATGGAAACGACTTCATTCTTGCTTTTATTAAACATGAAAACTGCTTTCGTTAAATCTAGCTTTGTGACTGAGGATGTATGTTTGACATTTACAATTTGATGTATCCATTTAAAAAATTTATTTTTAAAGGTTGGCCCACATGTAATATACAATTAAACCAGTAATGATTATCATGTTCAAAATTAATTGTTCATTGTCATGATGGTTATGGGATTCACTCTGAATTGCATTGGTTGGCAAACCTATTATTATGTATGCACATACTTGAGTGATTCTCCACAGGCAATAATGTGAATACTCTAAGAAATCCTCAAACATATTTTATATTTTGGCTCATTTTTAACCCTGAATTATTCACATAAAGAGAGTTCTACCTTGATTTTAGCCTATATAAACTTGATTTCAGGTGCATCTCATCTACTATTTACAATCTTCTACCAAAGGAGATGAGCTGGTAGAAAAACAGGAGAGTAGCAACACATACCTTCTGCCATCAGAAAGTCACACACTCTTCAGTGGAGAGGTCAGGCTACCTCTTCAAGACACAAAAGGTATCTGATTTTACTGACTGCCCTTTGAAGGCTCAGCGTGAGGCAAGAGTGGAAAAAGTAGATTCTTCACCAATGTGTCACTTCAGATTTGAACAGGAAATTCTCACACTAGGGCTGTTTTGAATCATTTTATCTCATCACACACCTCAGAATATAGGAGACTTTGGATGGCTAGCGTGTCATATAGTTTGTCCATTTTCAAGTACCCCTTAGAAATTTTTATAGTCGACAAGATGAGGAGAGAACAGAGATTTAACACATGCAGTTAATTGTTTCCATCTCAGTCACAAACACTAAAATATTGTAACTTTTTAAAATTATCTTAGATGTTTACTTTCTACATTTAGACAAGGTGCCTAAGTTGTCTTGGCATTATATACTTTATCATATACCCCTATAATATCACTGCTGTCATAATAAAAAATTTAAATAATCTTATCAATAGGAATTTAATATACTTGTCACTCTTCTGAGAAAATACTACATTTTCAACTTAATTGTAACTGACATCAATTCTCAAACTTTTCTTCTTAATTTCTTTGTCTTAGTTCTTAAAATTCCCATTCATTTTTCTTCTTCATATAAGTTAACCAGATTCCTCTGATTAAAACAAATGTCTCTTGAAAGAATAAAATGTTAAACAATACTGAACTATATCACCATGCCAGAGATTGAAATAATACAAACTACTCACTATATTGCTCACTGATTCCTTCCTCAATCATGACTTACGGTCTGCATTTTAATAGGAATATTTGTTGTAAATGATTAAAACTTAAGTTGAACTATATAGGGAGGTAAAACAATTTTTAAAACATCACCTACTTAAAAATGGGGTGGGCAGAAAACGGAGATTTTTAAAACACAAGTGAAATGGTACGTGAGTGCCTGGGTGTGGTAGCTCCTGTCAGTAATCCCAGCACTCCAGGATCACTTGAGCTGAGGAGTTCAAGGCCAGTATGAGACATAGGATGAAACCCTGTCTCTTCAAAAAAAATCCAAAAATTAGCCAAGGATTCTTGTGTTTTCTTGCAGTCCCAGCTGCTCTGGAGGCCGAGGTGGGAGGATTACTTGAGCCTAGAGGTCAAGGCTGCAGTGAACTGAGATAGTGCTGCTGCACTCCAGCCTGGGCAGCAGAGTCAGACCTTGTGTTAAAAAAAATAAACAAAATTTTTTTTTTTTTAAAAAAGGTATATATGAACATCAGGAAAAAAACTATAAATTATCTGGTTGGAGTAAATAAAATACTTTCATCATTTTTTTTCTATCAAGAAAAGGGGGAATGTTTATGCATACTTCTAAAATATATCTATCCCTGTGTAAGTTTTTATAGGTTGAGTTCAGAAAACCCAAGTCTTTAGTTTTCTAAAATCTAAACAGTTGGAATTTAAATTCATATTTACATCTTTGCAATCAGAATTATTTGCCCTTCCATCAGAATGGCTAATGTTGGCTCCGTATATATGTTTTTCTGTAAAATATATTGTAATATATTTTCATAAAATAAATTAATAATGTTATATGCATATATGCTTGTGTTTACATTGTATCTATTTCTACTAGAAGTAAATTTATTTATATTTTCATATGTATTACATTTTCATAAACTAGGTTTTGGCTTAGTCACATTTTAGAATTAAAACAATACACTTATTCACTAAAGATGCCACATAATGTATTATTCACTAATGTTTTCTATTTAAGTTTGAAGAACTGATGTCTACTACTGCTACAAACATCCACTTGGAGTTTTCCATTAAATAATGTCATATACTGTGATTGTTTCATTTAAGAACAGGAATACTTGTGAGAAATGTACCTGTAGGTAGTTTCATCCTTGTGTCAACAACGTTGAGTATATTCACATAAACCTAGATGGTACAGCTACTACACACCTCTGGCATATGGGATAGCCTATTGCTCCAAGGATACAAACCTGTACAACATGTTACTGTAGTAAATAATGTAAGCAGTGAACAGAATAATTTTTGTTTACCAAATCATATCTAAACAGAAAAAAACAGTAAAAATATGGTATAAGAGGTTAGAAAGGGCATCCTTTTATAGGGCACTTACTATGAATGAAGTCTGCAGAAATGGAAGTTTCCCTGGGTGAGTCAGTCAGCAAGTAGCAAGTGAAAGTCAAGGAGCAGGATATTACTGCACACTCCTGTGGGTTTTGTAAACGACACGCTAGGGTACACTATATTTATGAAACGCTTTTTTCTTTTGCTAATAATAAATTAACTTCACTGCCACTTTGTTGGTTTCTAAAGTTTTTATTTTTTAAAACCTTTCTGCCTCTTTTTAAATGCCATTTATTTTAAAACACAAATTGCAGTCTTAAGAACTGTTTTCTTTATGTTCTTATTCTGTAAGCTTTTTTAAATTTTTCACTTACATATTTTTTATACTTTTTAAACTTTTTTAAAACAACGAAGACACAGACACACACATTACCCTAAGCTTACACGGTGTCAGCAAGATCAATATCACTGTCATCCCCTCCACATCTTGACCCACTGGGGCAATAACACATGTGAGCTGTCCTCTCCTATGGTAACAATGTCTTCTGGAATTTCTCCTGAAGGACCTGCCCAAAGTTGTTTTTCAGGCTACTGTTTTTGTAGAAGTAGAAAGAGTACACTCTAAAATAATAATTAAAAGTATACTACCGTAAATACATAAACCAATAACACTGTCACTTATTATCATTATCAAATACAATGTAGCGTATGTAATTGTGTGTGCTATACTTTTATTTCACTGGCAGCACGGTAATTTGTGTAGCTCAGCATCACCACAGACATGGGAATAATACACTGAACTGCAACTATTGCTATGACGTCACTAAGTGATAGGAATTTTTCAGCTCCATTATAATCTAGTGGGACCACTATCTATGTGCAGCCTGCCATTGACCGAAACATCATTCTGTGGCACATGACTGTGTATCATGTTCTTTGTTAATCAAAATAATATAGGTTTCTACTGTTTGAACATTTAACTTTGATGAAGTTTATGCTTATACAAAGACACAATAAATATATAAAAATAAAACAAAAATTACACAAAATAATTGGAGTAGTTAGAATTTATATGATGTGTATATATATATATATATTTATATTTATATGATATAAATACACACACATACACACACACACAGAACTTGTGATAGTTAATATTAGGTATCTTGATTGGATTGAAGGGTCTAGATAGCTGGTAAAGTGTTGTTTCTGGGTGTGTCTGTGAGGGTGTGGCCAGAGGAAACAGACATTTGAGTCACTGGACTGGGTGAAGATCTATCCTCAGTGTGGGTGGGCACCATCTAAAGGCTGCCAGAGAAAGTAGAACAAAGCAGGTAGAAGAAGATGGGGTAAGCTGGCTTGATGAGTCTTTTGTATTTCATTTTTCTCCTGTGCCGGATGCTTCCTTCCATTTCTCCTGCTCTTGGGCATCAGACTCCAGGTTCTTCAGCCTTTGGACTCTTGTACTACACCAGCA